GGCTTATGTGCAGTCCAAAGAAGAAGAAAAGATTAGCAAGTGAATTTAATAAGGCATAAGTGAACAACAAACATTAACTACATGTTCAACCACAGTAAAGACCAAACAAGCTAAGTAGGAAATCAGTTGACCACATAGTTGTTTCCATTAATCACAACTCAACTTTAACTATAAGATATTAGCAACAATGATCAACTTCAAGCAATATAAACTAATAGTCGTCATCAGCCAAGAATTTAAAGGAATGCAACTAAAGGAAACTTGAGAGAAAATCAATCTATGCTTTATCAATATTCGATTTCCGCCAAGACAGACATACTAAAAAATAATAATCAGTTTCAGCAATACAGAGACAGACTTTAGCAATACAGATGATGAGCAATTTAAGAACCGACAAGTTCAAGACATCATTTTAAGACCAAACATTTTGATGAGGAGGAGTACACGACTTATATTCTTAATCATATGCATTTAAAGAGGACAGCGACAAGGAAGGAAGCCATCAACTTGTACAACATTAATTTAAAAGGGCACGGGAGGATAAAACGGTAAACATAAAGAGCATGCACTCCAGGTTCAAGAACTCAACTAAGATAGAGAGATAACAGACAACAAATCAAATGGTCATGAAGATAATACTAAGGAATAGTCACTGCCCCATTCTACGTTTTCTATTCCAACTTACATGAACAACAACTAGAAGCACACACATGAAAAGAAATTTACTTTACCCATGGAACAACAAAACTAAAACTAAAAGATCACCCAAAATCAACATGAAGGACTTATACGAAGTAGTCCAAGATAAAATAAAAAGTTATTGAACTCATACGCATATTAATAGCTAGAGAAAAAAAATTATCTCAGGAAAGCTAAACAAAATTTAAACATGATGAGAAAATTAAAGAAACAAGAAATAGAAAAAAAAATGAACATAAGCATGTTATTATAACACAGCCGAACAAATACAAATTTATAGCCTCTGCCAAAAAAATCAGCACTACCAATTAACTAAAGAAGAAATAGCATAACTGAATAAAGAAAGGGAGGGAAGATTACCTGGTTCTGGGCGGTGACTGGAAAAAAACGAGCTTGAGAGCGATTCCACAACCCCAAGGAGACTACAACAGACTCGTGAGAAGAAAAACCTAGGAAGTATGGCTCCAAATACTCTCAATCTCAGAACATGTCTCAAAATGTCCTGTGTATGTCCATTTTATTTCCTTATCATCTAGCTCTAATATAAGTTGTCTAGACCTAGTAAATTTCAACTCCTTTCTTATTATTTTTTCTTCACTGTTCTCTTGTGTATGGTTTCTTTTTGAAGCCCAAAATTGAGAAAATCCCCCCTTAACAATGAAGAAAAAGTGAGTTTATATAGAGGGGGAGCTAGGGCAGATTTGGGGGGGGGGGGGGAGATGAGGGTAAACTTGGAATCCCCATTTTGAAATTTGAACTTCTTTTCCAAGAAAAGAAAAGTTGTTGCTTGATGTGCGAAAATCACCAATTTTTCAACAAATTCCAACGGCTAAACAACAAGGGTCGTTTGATCTTGAGGCGAGGACAAAGGGACGAGGAGATCACTCCACCTGGCTGCGAAGGACGAAGCTGCCTGCTGGAATCGGCGCTAGAACAGTACTACGCGTATTGTTTGTCGGGGGAAAGAGGAAGACGACGAGAAAAATGCAGTGTACTGTATTGTACCCACGTAGACACCATGTATTGCTTTCTGTGAGTTCACCGTTTGAATTGTTGTTGTATTGTTGCATTAACGTCGCTTGGGAATAGTTGTTCGAGAACATTGGAGCATTCTGGGTTTCCTAGGAATTAGAAAGTGGGTCGGGTCGAATTGATTTAAAAATGGGCTTAAACTTGTAGGAAATTAAAAGGGCTGCAAGAATGTGGTCCATGGTTTATTTTTATCAAATTCAACTTGACTTCAATTAATTCAAGTATGATAAAATGGAAACGAGACAAAATTATAAACTCATTAATTACTCAAGCTTCTTAACTTTAACAACACAAAATAATTATTTCGAAAATAAAAGGTTTTAGTTAAATTGTGAATTAATCAATTTTAAAGGAAATAAGATGCGTACTTAATTAAAACTCTATTTTTCGGTAAAAGTGATTTTCCAAATATTTATTCAAAATTTGGAAATTATATAAATCTATATATTCTAAGTATATAGAGATATATTTCATAGTAAAAATGGAAAATTGCATTGAATAATGATTTCAAAAAAGTATTTATGATTTTTTCAAAATAATTACTTCAAATTGTTTGAAGTTTAAGAATCTTGAAAATTAATTAAATAGTGGAGGGCCAAAATTTGGTGTCAACAAATACAATACGTGACATGATAATTTAAATACAAGAATGCACAAAAATGTTCATTTTGAACTCTATAATGCATTAATAGAGCATTTATGGTAGCAACATAATAATTTTTAAAGTTGAATGATTCTTTAACGTTTGTGTAATTATATCATTAATAATTTTAATTTAATTTGAATTGTCCAATTTATGTTATTATGAAATTTAGAATCAAATATAATTTTATATTAAATAAAAAAAATAAAAAAAATTATATTACATGAAAATTATATAGAATTGTTTAGGAAAAAAGATTTATATTATAAATTAAGAAAAAGAAATAAAAATAATAATATAATATTAAGAAAATAGAACAAGATTTTATTATAGAAAGTAAAATAAAGAATTGAGTTGAATTTGATTGTCTGAAAAAACAAAAAATTCTATATTTAAAAAGTAAAATAAAGAGAGATTGGAGTGTTTATTTTCTATTTTACGCTTCAATATAAAAAATGGAGAATAAAATAGAAGCGGGATGAATAATTCCCAAAGAAATATTATGAATATATTTTACTGCATGGTTGGCCAGTTAAAATGTGATTTGACCGATATTGATTGATAAGTTCCAGCATTCAAGGTACTGAACGAGTTGCAGTAATAATTTATATAAAGTGTCATGCATGAATCAAGGACAAGTGACAATAAGCATTTGATTTATATGCATGTATATAATTATTATTCGGTGTCATAATATATAAACGTACCATTTAATTTGATATTTATAATTTTCAATTATTTAGGTGTATAAGTATTTACTTAGATTTAAAAAGAATTAAATAAATAGATATACATATTTTATGTGATAATTTACACTTTACGTGATGTTCTATAATGTCACTTATGACACATATGTCTATTTGCACATCTTTATATAAATTTCAATGTCTACTTATTCATAAATATTAAATGAGACCAAATTTATGAGCATATTCACGTATTATGTCTTGTTTAATTTGCCAATGTATTATAAAAGGCAAATTATGTACTAGGGAGTATTTTATATGGTTCAATTTAAGTGAATTTTTAATAATATGTGTTTTTTTCTTAAATGTTTTCTTTTGTAAAGAATTGTAAAACTATACATACATGTTTTGCATAATAATTTACGTTCTATATGATATCATATGTGTATTGAGAATATCACATATGATGCATGTATCTACTTGTTCAATTTTATATAAACTTAAATATTTACTTATATATAATTGAAAGGTCATAAATACTACTCATAAGATCAAGTTTATGAGCATATTTATGTATTATGCTTTGTTTAATTTGTCAATATTTTTCTCAATATTTGTTTAAAATACTACTCTATTTTAATATGTTTTCAGAAAAATATTGCATTTCCTTTTACAATTTCAACATTTATATAAGATCGCCAAATTCATGTTACATTACCCACATCTTTAAATTATATAACAAAATTCAAAAAATTCTCTATATTCTTAACCTTACTCCCTAATCAAATTAAGACAATCAAATTAAGACACTTCAATTAGAACGAAAAAGTAATGATAGCATTTATTACTACATCAATTCATACACTTGACTATATTTCTAAACAATGACATGAAACTTAAAAGAGTCCGGAGCCTAAAGGGTAAAAAAAATTGTCAAAAATTCCAAAAGGGTACATCACTTTTTATTCTAGCCAAAAGGGCAAAATCGCTGCATCAGCAGCGATTTTCCTCTGACAAAAGGACGAAATAGCAGAGATTTCGTGTAAATTTTTTTTAAAATTTTTTTTAATTAAAAATCGCTGCCACAGCAGCGATTTTGTAAAAAAAAAAAAAAAAAAAATTTTTATTAAAAATCGCTGCCATTGTAAAAAAAAAAAGAAAAAATTTTGCTGTGGCAGCGATTTTAAGTCAGAATTTTTTTTTTCCTTACACATCGCTGCAGGGGCAGCGTTTTTCATGCCGAGTGCTATTATTTTCATGCCTATTATTACTTATTAATAATATAAAAATGATAAACAAGACGACAGTATACTCAATAAAATTGTTGAAGCATGAGGAAAATTGAATTATATATCATAAATAATAATAAAAGAATATTAAAAATTTTTAAAAAAAATTTAAATTCTTAACCAAATTCGCTGCTATACCAGCGATTTTGAAGAAAAAAAGTTATTTTTTTTTTGTGAAAATATGCAGCGATTTTTATTTTTGTTTTGTCAGAAGCCCTTTTGGTTAATTTTTTTTTTGATGTGCCGTTTTAGTTTTTTTAAAGAAAAAACAACGATCTTTAATTAAAAAAAATTACAAAATCGCAGCGATTTTTAATTAGAATTTTTTTTTTTTTTTTACAAAATCGCTGCTGTGGCAGCGATTTTTAATAAAAAAAAATTTACACGAAATCTCTGCTATTTCGTCCTTTTGTCAGAGGAAAATCGCTGCTGATGCAGCGATTTTGCTCTTTTGGCTAGAATAAAAAGTGATGTACCCTTTTGGAATTTTTGACAATTTTTTTTACCTTTTAGGCTCCGGACTCAAACTTAAAATATGTACATGAACTATCATAAACTAGTCATTCCAATTTCCACATTCTAAGTACACGAAACTAAACGAGTTGAGTAATATATTCAAAAGCAATACAATGTCATATTATTATTATATTTCTAAGACAAAAGCCAAGAGACAATGGCACTATGATTTTGGTTATTAATTTCCATTGTTGTTGCTTCTTCATAATTATTATTGATGCAATTTTGAAGCAAATCAGTGTCAGTATCGTCCCATTGTGGCCAACTAGGAATTATGTCTGTTTCTAATTCCCATGGTGGTGTTGGCCATACTAATTCATAATCATCTTGCCAATCCATTAATAATTTGCTTTTTTCATCATCGCTTGATACGTTTTTATTTCCTTCGTCGATACATGAATAATTATTCCCTGCATTATTGCTCATTACTTCTTCTTCTAAACAATTCAAAATGAAATTTGGGTTCATATCTTCATCATCAATCACCACGTTTGGCATAATCTCCTCGAGTCTTGGCCATTCCATACCATTATCTGCTCAGACAAAAAAATATATATTTAGATATATAAAAATTATATATATATATATATATATATATATATATATATATATATATATATATATATATATATATATATATATATATATAGTTAAAAATTGTACATACAAGAGGTACTACAATTCAATTATTTCTGCCTAATAATTAAAAATAACAAAAAGTACTTCGCATGGTTGACCCATAGATGTTGGATTTAAAAAGTACTAAATATAGGAAATGACGTTATATAAAAAAAATAATAAGACACAAAATAGTAAGGAAAATATGTTCTCTAACCCAAATTAAATTTTTCGATAAAATAATCTCGTATTTCAATATATCAATACTATGTCACAACTCATATCTATTATTGAAAAATCAAAATTCAAGTATTTAATTATTAGAGGGTGTTTGACCATATTTTTTTCCCACTTTTTTCCATAGTTAAAACTCAGAGAATCATATTTGGCTGTAAAATTTCGATTTTTTTTTTTTAAATAAAAAATAAAACAAAAACAAAATCTTTACTCCAAATAATTCAGAAAAAATAAAAAACAAGTCTAATTTGTATGCACGACCAAACACAACTACAACAAATCTTAAATATCATTTTTCACTTTAATATTAACAATTATTTTTTAATCAAATTTCACAATAAAAAATAGTCAAAACACCGAAATTCGTACCTGAACTAAGGCTTCCCTTGGCCTTTATAGACCCTGCCCAAGAATTTGGCACCTCTACCTTTGCTACATCTTCTTGCATTAATTCCATGGTACTATCACAAGCTGGCATATTTGCACTACACAATGCTTCTTTTTCCATGTTTGGTGTAGAAGGCATAGGAACAATTCCACTCAAAGGTCCACAAGTACTATTTTCTTTAGCTTCTAATAAGTTTGACTTTTTATTTTTTGATTGATTAATCGATGATTTTCTACATTGTTTAATTGGCCTCAATGTACCCTTTTTAGCCAAATCAACTACAGCTTTAGGCAACTTCTCATCGCTTGGTATCCTTAAGCTATCAACTTTTCGACTTAGATGAGAGTTCCAATAATTTTTAATCTCATTGTCTGTTCTACCTGATAAATGTCCCGCTATTAGAGACCACCTGCAATTTTAAAAAGTCGATAACACTAGAAAATGTTAGAAACTAGAACGATGGTATACGTATTAATCATCATATTTAATGTCACAACTAACACACTTTTTCTAAATTTTTTCTTTGTTGGAATTATTTGATATATATGTGCATACATCCAACTTAAGATACGTTTTCTAGTTTAAAAAAATACTTTAAATTGTCACCGTTAATTTTCTAAAGTTGGTATAGGACTAATAATAGAAAGGATTGATTGCTTTTAAAGCATGCATGTGTCACTCGTCATGTGAAAGAAAAAAAAGGTAATATTGAACTTACTCGGGGGGGACCAATTTAATTAACTTATTAATTCATTAGCAAAAATAATGGATGTACAAAATAATACCCTAAAAATTAAAGTGTCCAGAACTTTTTTTCTTTTTATCCAGGCAAACATTACTATATACTATAAAGTGGAGTAAACATGAAATAAAAGAAGAAGAAAAATTGTCGGTTATATGTGATGAATATTCTTTATTCTTTCTCTAGCTCGAATCCATTACACCATAAGAGGGTTTTGATGAATAGTACTGTTACATTAGATTTGGTGTAACACTATATATTCACACATCAAAATGGTACTATAAGAAGTGGTGTTAGATTGGAGCACCAAATATTACGCCAAATTATTGTGACAATGTTTATAACCTAAAATAAGTTTAAGATTTTAAAAAAATAATAATAATATATGATTTTAAAGGTGACATTTTTTCCGGACCTAGACTAAAAAGAAACAAAATGAGTGGTTTAATCAGCAAGTTAAAAAGTCAAATTAAGTAATTAATTAATTACCTGTTACCCAAAGTTGAATGTAACTTTATGATTATATCTTCCTCTTGAGAAGTAATGTTCCCTCTCTTGAGGTCAGACCTCAAATAATTAATCCATCTTAGTCTACAACTCTTTCCACATCTCAGTAATCCTTCGAAATAAAATATAAAAAATGTTAAACGAAGAAAAGAAGGATTTAAATTTAGATTAAAATAAAAGGCTAGTAGGTAACATACCAGCATTTTTGGGTAATGACCTCCAAGAGCCTTCTCCATTAGAAAGAATATAATTAGTGAGAATTTGATCTTCTTCTGCAGTCCATCTGCCTCTCTTGATACCTACTTTTTCACAACAAGGTGTTCTTCCCATTATTACAAAATGAAGAGGCACAAGGCAATGAAAATTAGTCTCACCAATAAATAGAGAGACAACACAAATAAATGGACCTCACTCTTCACTTTAGTCTAGTTAATTTAATGTGAACTTATTAACGTACCAAAGGTTGACTTAATAAGGTTTTTTTTTTTTTTTTTTTTTTTTTTTTTTGCATTGCATGTCACTCTTTGATAAAAGAGATAGGGCAATACCAACGCGGTGGACTGATAAATACTTTTTCATTCATAATCAAAATATTTTATCTCAAATATAAGATTTTTTTATGTTAATCTGAATTTAGTCGAATAAGTGTGAGTCTTCGTGGGTGGAGATCTATGGATAATTTTCTCTATGGTTTTACTTATAAATAATTTTCTATTTAGTCATTGTAAATCATCGCATTTTTATTCATCAGTAATATATACTATTATATTATGTTCTTAATTAAGTTCATGAGCTTAATTTGTTGTGCATTATATTTGTTATTTCATTTTACTTTGTCCATTAATTAATCAAATTATAGTATACAAATCACGTGTTTGTAACTATATATCTTAATGCATTTATATGTTCTTGATTGAAGTCTATTAATTTCATTGTACGTTTTAAGGTTAAACATATTCGATACCCTCAATTCAATAATTGCTCTAAGAATTTTTATTTTTATTTTTATTTTTAATTTTAAATATTGTTATTTTCAAATTTCAATCAAATAACGTCCCTTTCGGTTCTCTTAGTTTCTTTTTTTTTGAGTCAAACGATAAGAACTTTAATGAATATTTTATGATATATTTTTTCATCATATTGATATGCAAAAAAATTGTAATTTATACTACATTTTATATAGTTTTTGAATATCTAAAATTTTAATTTTAAAGTATCGAATTAATGTAATCTAATTTAACTTTAAAAATTAGTCAAATTGACTTTCAAAAGTGCAACATGCGGGGAAAAGTCGCCCTTGTCCAAGGGGTGTCACCAGAAAATTATAAGATAGAGAGAGGTAAAATTTTGGTTTTAATAAATATACATACAAGTATTTACACCTCTTAAAACATGTTGAAAGTTTAGTCTAATGATTAAGAAATTATTAAAATTCCTTGAGATCGTGAGTTTTAGCCTTCGTACTTAATAAAAATCTTGACTCCGCTACTAACAACCTAACGATTAAAAAAAGACGGAAAATGTACTTAGCAGGGATATTTTCAAAAAAGTGAGGGAGATTGAGAAAGCTAAATTTTTTGAAAGAGACAGATAGAGACGTGTGCGGTGTTAAAAGATGCCACGTATTCATTTGTTTTAAAACATAGTCGTGGCTCATCCACAATCGAGTCTTGCCTAGGGGGGCTTCCATCTCCCACGTTCATTGTCCCTCGCCCCATTATTTTTTTTTTAATTTTCGTTTGGACATGTAAATTGTACGGACAAAAAAAATATTATTTTAAAAGTAATTTATTTAAAAATGAATGAGATTTTTTAAAAAAAATCTATTTCGTGTATTTGATAAATAAGTAATTTTTCTTTTAGTTATTTCAAATATGTAGAAGAAATAAGGTGAGGAGCGAGGGTTCGGGAGCGGTGGTCATTGAGAATGAGACAATGAATTTGAAATGCCATATATAAAAAAACTATTCTCTACGTTTATTAAAGAACTCATTTTAAGATTTTTTTTTAAAGAATATTTTAACTAAATAAACATGAGAATATTAGATATTATTTTTCAAAATATATTTCTTTTAAATCAAACACACTCAAAATGGTGACTTTAAATCAGTGTTTAAACATATAATTTAGAATCGTGATTTTAAATTATTCAAAAATATATATATAAATCTTTTTGATAAATTTAAGGCTTGATATAATAATTTTAAATTATAATTTAATATTAATATAAATTTTTACCTTATTGATGAGGATACGATTTATCACTTAATATTTAATAATTATCTCCTCAGTTTTCCCTTTTCCCATCCGCAGTTTTTATTTTATATTTTAGAAAAGAAATATTGAATGCATGTGTATTTAATTATTAATAGCCCCTATATCTGCATGACTTTTATTATTTTCATCTACCTCTGCCCACACTACACTCCTTTATTCGCTTTTCAATTAATTGTGCCTCCTTTATTTCTTTCTTTATTTTTCTTCACTAGTCCCTTTTTGCCGTCCTTTTTCTATTTTTGAATTCATTATTTCGCCTCACTTGAGTTTTAATTTTATCTTTTTTTGCAAAACATTTTTTTTTATTTAAAAAGTCATACGCTGTACATGTAGTTCCTCGGTCCAGAAATGTCTTGTAGTTTTTCTGTTTAGTTTGTTTTGAAGAGAGATTTTTTTAAATATTTTTTACTTTAATAATTTTTAAATTTTTAATATTTTATGTGAAAAATTTAAGACTGAAATTTAAAAAATAGGAAGAAATCTTAATCTTGCAATTGAAAAGATATTTTTAATCATTCCATGTTGAATTTGGAAGGTTATTCAAGATCAACACGAAAGTTAGAATCATGAGTGATAATAAACAAAAGAAGTCTTAATTTCTAGATTATAAGAAAGAAGTGTTTACTCCCTCATTTTTACTTATTTATTTTGAAATATATTAATGATTAATATGAATATTTTATAATGATATCCAGTATCTAGAAAATGATTTTGAAAAAAGCAATTAATATTATAAATAAAGTATATGAAACTAATTATTATTATTTTTTCGTATGTTTAAAGTAACAAATTAAAATATAAATTTATATTTTAAAAATGGTAGACAAAATAAAATTGATCAGAAAGAGACTATTATTAACTCACTCGAGTAGGACCGCCGAGTCATAGAGACGGAGATCGCTGAGCGGAGAATTTAAGGTATTGTTTGTCCATATTTTAATGCTTTATTGTGGTCCTCAAGTAGTTCTTATTGCCCTGCAAGTGGTATTTTAATTTGAAAGAGATATTTTGAAAACGTTTTTGAATTTGACGTAAATTATTAGTTACGTATTTTGAATTATTGACCATTTCAAAGATACTCGTTTACTTGAGTGACTAAATTTAGATACACCTCTGACCACTCCTGTCACTTGACATAACAATTGATCTCAAACTCTTGTATAGCATGGGACTATGTTGAGAATATAATCAAATAATAAAAATGTGCTCTCTCTAACAGCTTAAGTTTTTAGATGAGATGGTCACACACTTCAACAGACTATTAATAAAAGGAGAGAGAAGAGTTGGAAATATCCTTAAAATTAACGAGAATTTAGGAGTTCATTTCACTCATGTTGCAAGATTGATGATGTATTTAAGTTCAGTTAAGCAAGTAAAAGAGAATTTTTAAGGCTGTCAATAGTTTAAGGATAAAACTAATAATTCATGTCTAGTATAAGGATGTTTTCAATACTTCTTTCTTAATTTAATTATATTTGAAAATTTTCATGAAAATAATTTTGAAACAAAAAAAGTGGTGTTTAGTGGGATGTTTTCAATATTCTTTCTTAATTTAATTATACTTGAAAATTTTCATGAAAATAATTTTGAAACAAAAAAAGTGGTGTTTAGTAGACTTTTTGCGAGTTAATATCTCATATAATTACTCAACTAAAATTAGTTTACTCAGCAAATCACTTTTTTTTTATAACTCAATAAACACTCAACTATTACTATTTTACTCACAAAATCATTCAATCATTTAATTGGTTTTTTATTTAATTTTATTGAGATGAAAAATTTATTTTAAGCCAATCTGTTTTTATAAGAAAGAAATACGATTCATTTTAATTATTTTATTGATCCACCTCATTAATTGACTCGAACAACTCAAATAACTTGATATCCCAAATAAATGACGGGATTTCTTCAGCCATTCAAATGAAATTTAATATAACAAATTAATTTTAACAAAAAAAAAAAAAACAATAAAAGAATCACTTGGCATACTTGATTGGTCGATGAGTAACTTTACTAGTTAATCAACTTGTTAATATTAATAATAATATTTGAATTTTAATTTGATGAAAATCAAAGCACCAATTCAAACTAAATTAGTTAATAATAAATTTAATTTCTTGAAATGTCCATTTAAGTAAAAGAATAATTTGATTTCTTGAAATGTCCATTTAAGTAAAAGAATATTCACATCAACATTATAATTTAGAAGTACCCCAAAAACGAAATGCCAAGAAAGTTGTGATTTAAGGTGTACTTGAATTATTCTAATGATTAATTAGGAGTGAATTTATGTATTATTTTATATAAATATTAATTATATAAGGATTAGTTAATTATATATGTTTAATTATTCCACCTAATATGCGTAAAATAATATATAAACTTTTTCATAAAAATTAATATATAAATAACTTATTTTCTGTTTAGCTACTTGAACATATATAATACATAGATTTCCTCGTAAAAACTAATATATGAGTAGTTTTTTTTTATCCAACTACATAAACATATATAATACATAATTTTTTCATAAAAATTACTTCTCCGTACATTTTTACTTATCACAATTTGACTTGACACATCCATTAAGAAAATAATTAATGATATATATATTTTACCAAATTATCTCCTATTAAATGATGTCTTAGAAGATGATTTGAAAAATAAGTATTTAATAATTAGGGTAAAACATGAAAAATAATAATCTTGATACGTCAAAGTGACAAATAAAATGAAAATTGATTTTAGGATTAAGTGACAAGTAAAAGTGAATAGAAGGAGTAATATATAAATAACTTATTTCTTATTTTACCGTATACTCAAGACACTTGCACCAAGTTAATTGGTCACTAGTAATGATGTTTGGTAAAGCATTGATTAGTATCAAATAGGAATGTTATGGTTCTATTTAATGCCACGATGCCGTAAATTAAATGATACATAGGCACACCTACTGACTAACTCAATTTATTTTTTTACGATTATAAAGTACAATTTTCATAAATTCATGAATCGCAATTGTTTATCATTAGTCAAATCAACATATTTAAGAGTATTTTTTTA